TTGAAAAAACTTCAGGCTATCCTTTCACTGTAATTTTTTTTTTTTTTTTGACAACTTCTTTCCTTCCTCTTCTTCATTATTCCTTTGTCAGCATTTATTTTCTCTTCAAAATCCATTAAGTCCTGATTTGTCAATTTCCCTTCTCCAGCTCCGTATGAGCTAATCCACATTGGCAATATCAAGTTCTGAATTCAGTGTTCTTGCCCCGTGCATGATTTTTCCACCAATCAGTATTATCCCAATCAAATGCTGGGAGCAAGTTCACATATCTCAGCAATTTTTTCCATATTCCTTGCATGTATTTTCCCATAACTTCCTCTCTAAAACTCATTGCCATTGAGTCCATTCTGACTCATAGTGACCCATAGGGTTTCCAAGGCTGTAAATATTTATGGAAGTAGGTTGGCTCATCTTCCTCTTGCAGAGCAGCTGGTGGGTTTTGAACTACTGACCTTTTGGTTAGCAGCCAAATGCCTTAACCACTATGCCACCAGAGCTCTTCAACTTCCTCCCAGGAATATATAATGTTCTAGCCTGCTATATATGGCAACATTTGGAGTAGTAAATCATAAAATAGAACATCTGAGAATGAACATCTGAGAATGATAACATCAGTGAATTACTTGCTGCAACATTTTATGTGGTACATATTACTAACAATATGACTTTTCACTCTGTTGTCATATAATAGTTCACATTTTTTATCCTCATAAACTAAACACAATTACTGTTATTTGACACAGATAACTACTAATTTGTGTTTAACCAGTTCTCTATCATTTTATTCATACACTATTTCTTTGTGCATCTCAGGCTGTTTTTTTGAGATCACTTTCTTTCTTCTTAAATCTTCCAGAAGTTCTTTTACAGAGGGTCTTTTGGTGGTAAACTGTTGGAGTTTGTGTTTATCTACAAATGTTTTATTTTATCGCCATTCTTGAATGATAGTTTTGCTGGAAATGCAATTCTAAATTAACATTTATTTTCTCTCAACACTTTAAAAATACTTTCCCACTATCTTCTAGATTCTATTGATGTTGAATAAATCAGCTGTCAGTTCAACTACTGTTTCTTTGTAGGTGTCCTGGCATTTCTTTCTAGCTGCTTTCAAGAACATTTTGCTTTTGACATGCAATTTCACTATGATGTGTCTGTATGCGGGTATCTTTTCATTTATTTTTATTTTAAAAAAATTTGTATTGTGATTTGGGTGAAAGTTTACAGAGCAAATTCATTTTCTATACAGCTGTTCATACAGATTTTGTGTCATGACATTGACTGCAGTTCCCCACAATGTAGAAGTTCTCTTCCCACTTCCTCCCTGTAGTTATGTCTTCCCTGTGTCCTTCTTTCCTCTGCATTCCTGCCCCCTGTGCAAACATTGCCCTTCTGCTCTCCCATGATTGATCATTCTAAGGAATGTATCCGTTGTTGTTGTTGTTGTTATGTGCCGTGGAGTCAGATCCAACTCATAGTGACCACTCCTTGGGTTTCCAAGGCAGTATTCACTACGGAAGTAGATTGTCCAACCCTCCTTCCAAAAGAGTATATCTACCTGATGTAAATGTTCACCATATATACCTGTCTATTGCTTTGCTGTAAGCTACAGGAGTGAGTTCAATTCTAGACCTGAAAGGTAACTAGGGGCCATAGTCTTGGGGGTTTCACCAGCTTCTATCAGTAAACCTAGTCTTTTTTTCGTTTTGAGTTGAGCTTTGTTCCACATTGTTCCCCCACTCTAGGCAGGATCTCCTGCATTGATCCCTTCTTGGGTAGTTGATAGTGGTAGCTGGCCACTATCTAGTTCTTCTGGTCTCATGGTCATACAGGCTGAGGTTTGCATGGTCCACTAGTCTATAAATGGGTATCTTTTTATTTATCCTGCTTGAAGTATAATATACTTCTGGATCAGTGAATTTGTGGGTTTTATCAACTGTAGAAAATTTGCAGACATTACATATGTAACCATTGTCCTTCTGACATTCTCCCCCTTTTCTCTTTCTGGGTCTCCAATCAGACATATATATTGAAACTTCTCATTCTAGCTTTCACAGGATTCTGGACAAATTCTTCAAATATATAAATTCTCTTTCTCTATGAATAATCGGAAGGAAGGTTGGGCAATCTACTTCTGTAGTGTTACTGCCTTGGAAACCCAAGGAGGGGTCACTATGAGTCGGGGCCGACTCAATGGCACATAACAACATGAATAATCCACTATCCATTTAAAGTTTTTTTTAAACCTAAACATTTTTTTTTCTAAGTGTTCCTTTTTTTTATTTTTTTAAGTTGTCTCTTCACTTCTTTCTGTATTTTCTATTTGTTATTTCTCAAACATGTTGTTGTTAGGTGTTGTCGAGTCAGTTTCAACTCATAGCAACATTATGTACAATAGAATGAAATACTGCCTGGAGCCAGCCTCAAAAACATTGCCATACTTGAACTCATTGTCATAGCTACTGGGTCAATCCATCTCATTGAAGGTCTTCTTCTTTTTCACTGATACTCTACCTTAGCAAGCACGATATCCTTCTCCAGGGACTGGTCTCTTCTGACAATATGACCAAAGTAAGTGAGATGGAATCTGGCCAGTCTTGCTTCTAAGGAGCAGTCCAGCTGTACTTTCTCCAAGACAGATTTGTTCGTTCTTCTAGCAGTGTGTTATACATTCATTATTCTTTTCCAGCACCACAACTCAAATGCATCAGTTCTTCTGTGGTCTTCTTTATTCATTGTCCAGCTCTCACATGCATATGAGGCTATTGAAGATATCATGGCTTGGGTTAGGTGCACATTAGTCTTCAAAGTGACATCTTTGCTCTTTAACACTTTAAAGAGGTCTTTTGCAGCAGACACACGTCATTGGATTTCTTGTGATTGTGGATCCAAGTGAAATGAAATCCTTGACAACTTCAATCTTTTCTCCATTTATCATGCTGTTGCTTATTATCCCAGTTTTGAGGATTTTTGTTTTATTTATGTTGAGGTGCAATCCATACTGGAGTGTGTAGTCTCTGATCTTCATCTGTAAATGCTTCCAATCTTCACTTTCAGCAAGGGAGCTTGTGTCATCTGCACATCTCAGGTTGTTAATGAGTCTTCCTCCAATCTTGATGCCATGTTCTTGTTCATATAGTCCAGCTTCTTAGATTATTTGCTCAGCATATCGATTGAATAAGTATAGTGAAATGATACAGCCCTGACACACACCTTCCTTGATTTTAAACCATGCAGTATCCCCTTGATCTGTTCAAATGACTGCCTCTGATCTATGTACAGATACCACATGAGCGCAATTAAGTGCTTAAACATAGCTACTCTATATTTTGTATTTGACTTACAATATCTGAGATCTTTGAGAGGTTAAGTCTAATGATTCTTGATTCTGCTGCCTTTCACTCACAGGAGCCTGCATATTTATATATTTAGCAATCATTGCTACATGTTTTTAGGAATTCTGCAGGTCTGATTTTAGAAAAACTTCCTCTCAAAAGGATTTCCTTATGTTTCCAGCAGCAATTGAGGATACTCCCATGCCAGGATCATCAACATCTTCTTCCAAAGTTTTGGTTCAAAGTTAGGAGCCTTAGACTTAGCTTCCCCTTTTTCATTGCTGTTCTATGGCTCAAATCCCCCACAATCATTTTGTTGTTGGAATGCAGCTATAGGATGATCCCCCTTTTCAGTCTAGATCAAACCCTTGCCATTCAAGCTCCAGTCATTCCACATGAACTCCACCCATGGCTCTCATCCTGCTTCCCATCTCTCCGTACCATCTCTCTCGCATATCAAGGTCTTGGCTCCTTGCTACCCTAGCCACTGCCCCTCACCCTTGCAACCTTGTTATCATTAGTGTGGGGCATAATCCCTGAAAACCTCTCCTATTTTTGAAAGACCAGCAAAGCTTCCAAGAGTACATCTTATCTGGAGTATAACTGCTATGGAACAGCAAATTCCTTGCAATCCTAGTTTTCATGATACTGCCATGTTTTGCAGCCCCCCTCCCAGTTCGAATGCAACATATTACACTTTAAACTGTTATTTTTAATCTTCTTACTTGAATCTACTTTTCCAAATTGTTAAAGTCTTTTTGAAAAGAGATTCTATCATGGATCATGTCCATGTTATCTGTGCTTTATGTGTATCTAGCCAAGTATTTGGTTAGATGAATAGAACAAAGTCTACCAGCACACTCTGCTAGTAGGTTAAAGGAAGAGCTTCTTTGCTCATTTATTTGTTCTTTCATTTATGTAACAATCATTTATTGAGCATTTACTCTGCTAGGTGCAGTCAGACACTGAGCTGGGTGCTAGGAATTCCTGCTCTCAAGGAGCTTACAGCTGCACAATCAAATCGTTTTCCCAGCCCACCTAATAGAAGGGATCAGGAGCACTAATGTGCTTAACCTGATTAGAGGCAGGTGGGCTAGAAAACATAGTGCTACATTGGAAAACAGGGCACCTGTTATCTATTACAAGAAAGTCACATCTCTCCGAAGCTTTTCTTCCACTATTTGATGTGAGGTTTAACCTCACTAATGAGTTTTAGGCCCCATATTTGGGAATAAAAAACCCACTGCCACTGAGTTAATTCCAACTCACAGCTACCCTCATGGGGTTTCCAAGGCTGCAAATCTCTATATTTGCCCCATCTTCCACTCATGGAGCAGCTGGTGGGTTTGAACTGCCGACCTTCCGCTTAGCAGCCAAATGCCTTCACCACTGTGCCATCAGAGCTCCTTGTATTTGGGAATACTCCCGGTAAAATTATCCCACTAGAGATGTGGGCAGTTTGCATGGTGGGTGCTCCTCCATAGAGTTGGCTCCCTCCATGCCTGCTGTCCCAGTTTATAGGGTGTGATTTAGTGTTCCTATACCCTGCTGCCCAGATCACAGATGGCCCTGGCCTGAGGATCATGGGCACTCTGGGTGTTAGCACCAGCCAGGGGCTCAGGGGCAGCCTCAGTGAGCTAGTGAAAGAATGAACCTTTATTCCCTCAGGTATAAAATGGACACCTGATGAAAATGGAGTCATTGCCTTCGACTGCCGAAACCGTGGCTGGTAAGAGCTCACAGGGGAAAGATCTCTTGCCCCTAGTTCTCCTACATTCTTTGGCCACCTCCTTCTACCCCATTTCCACCACCAAATAGTCTCAAATGTGTAGAATCATTATCTAATACAAGAGTAGGAAGAATTGCCAGGTAGATCCTCTCCTCTTTCTGCATCTGCCCTTGCTCCAGGACTGTTCATCTAGGATTGATAACATTTATCTTTCCCAACCCAAACCTTCTTTCAGAACACTGGGCTGTCCCCAGATGCACCCTGTCAGGTTCTCATCTCTTGCTGCCCCTTCTCCAGCAGATTTGTAAAAGACACTCAGGGTTAAACTCAGCTCTCTCCTTTTCCACTGCCAGCCCCTCAGAGACTCTAGCTGGTCTAAACCAAAGAGGACCAGGGTTACCACCAGGATTTGACCTTTTCCCCTCCCGATGACCCATTGGATGGGCACATGCCCAACTACATCAAGCCAATATAGCTTCAGAAGTATGTCGAGTTGTTTTGGAACACAACAAAACCTATCATAGATGGGGTGCAGAACATTGACCTGAACTTTGGATGCATTTGGGCCAGAATTTAAATAGAAATAACTGGAAACTCTTGGTCAGGGGTTATTTGATTTTGGTTTGCCCATCTTCAACCTGCCCCTTTCCTTTCCACTTCTTCATGCTGAAGGTACATACAGGCTGCTACTTCTCCCAAAGACATAGTGATTCTTGTGGACGTGAGTGGCAGCATGAAGGGGCTGAGGATGGCCATTGCCAAGCACACCGTCTCCACCATCTTGGATACCCTGGGAGAGAATGACTTTGTTAATATCATCGCGGTAAATGTGCCTTCTTGTTCTAGAGCAGTTCTCACTCCCTCGAGAAAATATTTTCTTCTTCCTGCTTTAGAATGACCAATACAGTCATTTGATGCCTCTTACTGTAGAATGATTCTCTCCTTTCAAGCTGAGCTATTAATATAGGGTCTATGGTCTTCCCAAGCTCCTGAAATTATATATAAAATGTTATATACTTTCATTTTCCTGGGCCTATCTTTCAATTTCTCAGAAGAGTCTGGGTTCCAATAAAGGTGAAGAACTACTGACCATGAGTAAATGTCTAATTGATTCCCATTCAGATCTATCGTTCTCCAATCTGATGTAGAATGAATGGTCTCTGGGTTCCTGTTTTATGACAATTCCAGTCTTCCCCACTTCCTTGATCTCACCAAATCCAGATACCTTGGGGGAAGAGGGGAAAGTAGGAGATGTGAGCTGAGAAGGTGAACAACAAATCTGGGACCTGTTTTTATGGCAACTCTTCACTTATGACTGGAAAAGTTATGAAGTGGAGGATTAAAGAAGAAAGAAAAGAAGAGTGACAAGTTAGGAGACTGTTTTTAAATGTCACACTAAGGTGTGCCATTTGAATCCTCCAAGAGGATAGAGTTGACAGCCACCTAGGGGCTTTGAAAGGAGCTCTGGTGGTGTAGTGGTTAAGGCATTTGGCTGCTAATCAAAAGGCCAGTGGTTCAAACTCACCAGTCTCTCCATGGAATAAAGATGAGGTAGTCTGCTTCCATAAAGATTTACAGTCTTAGAAACACAGTGAGGGTTTCTATGAGTCAGAATTTACTCGATGATAGTGAGTTTGGTTTTTTTGGCAGGGACTTTGAAGGGCACTGAAAGTTGAAGGGCGCTGATCCAAAAGTTCCATCCACAGCCTGTCACATTACCCAAAATTTCTATCTTTAATGGAATTTACTTACCTAGCAAAGAAATGCCAAGGCAAAATTGTCTAACTTTAAAATAATTCTGCTTCCTGGGGATCAGCTTTCAGCCAAACAATAGATAGGCATAAAATGAATAATACCTCCAGGAAGGAATGTACTCCTCAGTACAATCAAACATATGAGACCAAAAGAGCAGCATTTGCCCAAAGATAAAGCTCAAAAGGCCAGAAGAGGCAGGAAAGGAGGACAGCAGAAACTAGGAACCTAGGGCGGAAAAGAAGAATGCTGTTACATTGAGGGAATTGTAACAAATGTCATGAAAAGAATGTGCATAAGTTTTTGAATGGAGAACTATAGCTTTGTAAAGTTTCACCCAATAAAAAGTGCAAAGTTTCACTACAATAAAAAGTACAAAAAAAAAAAAAAAAAAAAAAAGAGCGAGAGAGAGAGAATGGGGTGATAAAAATGTTCTGGAATTAAATAGTGGTGATATTTGAACAACACTGCGAATGTACTAAATGTCATTGATGGTAAATTCTACGCTATGTGTATTTTATCACAACATGAAAAGCACAAATGAAAAAAAAAAACAATCCTGCTGGGGCATGAAAATGGCTGCCCATTCTCCTATTTTCAGTCCACTCCCCTGAGGCCTCTCTCTATTTACCTGCTTGTGTGATTCCTAGGCCCCACCTCCCCATCCTGACCCTCTCTGCATCCCTGTGCCTAGACCTGCAGGAGTGAAAGGATGGCCACAGATAACAGGTCCCATCACTCCATAAGAGTGGAACAGCACGAGTTCATCCCTCAGAGCCTACCTGTCTTCCCACCCAACACTGGCTCTCCTCTTCCAACCCCCCAGCTTTTTTGGCAGTTTGGAGAGTACCAGTTAGGGACAGCTTTCACATCCAATATTCATTCTCCCCAGAGCATCCATGCCATTCTACCATTTGGTCACCACCATCTCTCTTTTTCCTCTCTGATTTATGTAGAAAATGCACTAAGGATACTAGAACAATACCGAAAATTGGAATTTAACTATGAGGAATAAAGGTGACTAATAAAAAGGGAGAGACAAACAATAATTCATTTCCTTTCCCACCCCCACCCTCTGTTGATAGCAAAAGGACCCTCTTCATATACACACAGCAGAGAGAGAAAAGGGCACAATGTCTCATCCTCCCACCTAGCCTGTTGGGGAAGGGATGCACATGGAAGACACTGGACACCCCTATAGAGGCACCTTGTCCGGTCTTGGGGGCAGAGACCAAAGGAATTCTTCAGTAACTTCAGATTGTCTGTACTCTGGGAAAAGAATGTCATTCAGAAAATGCCCCAAGGTCAGGATTTGAGGGAGAATTTTTAGACCCTGCTGCTCTCCCTACTCTCTTCTATTAGGAAATTGGCAAAAAGTAAAGAGTACCCCAAGATAATATTACACACAGGCCTAGGTGAATCTCACCCCTGATTATCCTATCAAGTGTTTTGGTTCTTCACCAGGCCCTGACTTTCCAACTCATCCTGTTTGTTCTCTCCTTCCCTCGCCCCACTACAACTACAGTACAATGACTATGTTCACTACATTGAGCCTTGCTTTAAAGGGATCCTGGTCCAAGCAGACCAAGACAATCGAGAGGTAAGTGTCCATCTATGGCCTGATACTTCTGAGCCCCTGCTGCTAAGATATTGGGGTGTTTGTGCAGACTGCCTTGATGGCTCCCTTGAACTTACTTCATGGCACTTGGAAAGAGGGCAAAGCAAATCTGTGTTAACTATGTAAATATGTCCAAGAAATCTCTCTTATAAATATGGTGCATATCTATTCAGAGCAAACAGTGAAAGTTTGCATCTAAGGGAACCTTGGCTATTTAAGTTTTTCACTGGTTTTTCACTCTGTGGATGATCCAGAACTCAGTCTCCCTCTTTGCTTCCCTGTGTGGACCTTTCTACTCTGTTAGTCTTCATGGGACCTTCCCTCAAAGGAGGAGAAATTCAAACCCATTAGGTTGAGTCTTTTTCTCTGGTAAAAGACCATGGAGGAGAGGATGTGGCAACTGCTTTTTTAAAGTGATATTTTGCACGTCATAGAGCTTTTCCTCTGTGATGGGGGATTTGGATTTGGATTGCTCTTGAATCCTGGGCCAGAGGTTGCTTTCTAGAGTCCTTGGTTGCCTCCATAGTTACTCCTGTGAAATGCTCACCGTTGAGTTAAGGGCTAGGATGTTGAGGATGCTAGGGACCCCAGGAACCTCAGCGTTAGCTCCCAGCAAATCAGTCATCCCCCCTGCCTCTGCACTGTCCTGTGGTAGTGCTCACACTTAGCTGTATCCTTCCAGTAGAGGGGATGGATTTGTACCAAGCCATTCTCACTCTCTTAGTTTACCTTGGGGCTATTTGAAAACAACAATTTCAGAGGTCTAGCCCATGAAATTAGCCAGATCATGAAGAGGTGAAACCTGCAATTGTGTTCCTCTAGACAATAGCTCTAAACAGCCTCATAAATTATGACCAAAGGTGAAGCCTCCCTGGTACAGTCAACCCCCTGACCCTCATCAAATTTCTTACCTATGGTAGCATTTCAAACAGCTGGTGGAGAAGCTGATGGTCAAAGGTGTGGGGATCCTAGACCAAGCTCTGAGTGAAGCCTTCCAGATTCTTAAGCAGGTATGTGCCCCTGTGGAAGCCCAGAGGGAGTGATGGGGTTAAGAGAAGCAGAGGGAGGGCAGTTCACAACCTGAAGTCATGGTGCCTTCTCACACAGTTCCAGGAGGCCAGGCAAGGAAGCCTCTGTAACCAGGCCATCATGTTGATCACCGATGGTGCCGTGGAGGACTACGAGCCAGTATTTGAGAAGTATAACTGGCCAGACCGCAAGGTTACCCTCCCAGTAGGGGATTAAGGGGGAGTGGAAGGGGCCAAGGGAAGAGTTCTCCTACTGCATAGGATAACCAGTGTAACACAGAAAAGCCAGGGCTTCAGTGAGTTCAAATGTTCTGTCCTGTTGTTGTTGTGTGCCACTAAGTCAATTCCAACCCATAGTGACCCTATATAACAGAGTAGAACTGCTCTATAAGGTTTCCTAGGCTTCAATCTTTATGGAAAAATGGACTGACACAGTGGCTGCAACCATGGGCTGGAACATAGCAATAATTGTGAGAATGGTGCAGGATTGGATAGCATTTCATTCTGTTGTACTTAGGCTTGCTATGAGTTGCAATCAACTCAATGACACCTGACAACAACAATCCCATTTTGGTGGTCAAAACTTATGACAATCTTAGGCACAAAGAAGTTGTCCTGAGTGGTTCAAAAGTTTAATGTGCTAGGCTACTAACTGAAAAGCTGAAGATTTGAGTCTACCCAGACATTTCTCAAAAGAAAGGCCTGGTAATCTACTTCAGAAAAATCAGCCACTGAAAACTCTATGGAGTATAGTTCTACTCTGACACACATCAGTTTCCATGAGTCAAAATTTACTCAATGGCAACCAGTTTTTAGATATGGAGGACTCAGAGAGGAGGAATGTGAGCGAGGTCAGGACCAGAACCTGATTTTGCTGGGCTGTGAACCTTAGCCTCATACCTGCTCTACACTCATCCTGGCCTTGTACAAGTCATTTTTGCTGCATGGACCTCAGCATTTTTTCTGATCACAAGGAGACGTTGTTGTTAGGAGCCATCAATATGATTTTGATTCATGGTGAAAGAGTAGAACTTCCCCATAGGGTTCTCTTCACTATAATCTTTATGGGAGCAGATGATCAGGTTTTCTTCCTACAAAGCTGCTGAGTGGATTCAAACCACCAACGTTTCAGTTAGTAGCTGAGCACTTAACCATTTGTGCCAGCAGGGTGAGACTTGGGGAATCCAAAGCCTGCAAAGTGTTTGACCCAACATCTAAGATTCACATAAATAAGGATAGCTAGGATTACTGTGGCCAGGAATTATTGCTGTTTGGTGGAGAAAATGTCTGCTGAGTCACTCTGTCTTGTGGATTAGGTCCGAGTTTTCACCTATCTCATTGGGAGAGAAGTGACTTTTGCTGACCGCATGAAACGGATTGCATGTAACAACAAAGGTAGGTGATATGACAGCCAAGTGCCTTGTAGCCTTCACCTGAGCACAAGGGGACACCCAGAGGTGCCACATGCAGGCTTCTGCACTGAGGCTTTGCAATGGAGTGGTAGTGTGCCAAGAATGACAGTACATGTCCTTCTTCCTATTATTTAGAAAAAGTAAGACAAAATGCTTATTGCTCCATAGAACCTTAAGTAAATGCTTGATTACTCCTATAGGGCCTATTCCTAAGTCATAAAGCCTCCTGAAATAGAACTTAGGAAACATCTCTCCAGTGTTTACAGAAGAGAGAAGGACTCTCTTTTCAAAAAAAAAAAAAAACCCTGACACAAGGCAAAGGAGAGACCAATATTTTAAATATAAGTTCTCTCTGTTGCCTAGCTTTCATTCTTCTTGCTGAAAACTAAACCCATTTACGCTGGTTCTGCTTCCAAACCAAAAACAGGCTCACCATTTTCTCTAGAATAATGTTTAGTGTGCAAACAATCCTGTGCTATCTCTAAGCAGACCCCAAGGCCTGGGTCTCTCAGTGCCAGCTTAGACCCCATTGATTCAGTTACTGGGAACCTGGTACCCTGGGGAACTGAGAATAGTCAGAGCAGGCTCAGCCTGGCTCTTGTTACTGCCCAGCACAAGAGACAAACAAATGAACTGTAAATTCTCAACTTCTGGAGGGGCTCAGGCTGTGCAGGGTGCTGAGGGTGCAACGGGAGAGTCACTTTCCCATTTGGGGAGTCAGGGAAGGCTTCCTGAAGAAAGAGTCTCTACGCTGAGACATGAAGAACTGGTAAGAATTAGCCAGACCTACAGAGCAAGGAAGGCTATTCCAGACAAAGGGCATAGCATGTACAAAGGCTGTTGGGAACAGAAAGATGTCCCATTTTACCTGAGTATGGGATGAGTGCATTGTGCGAGGTGATGAGCACTGAGACCAAAGAGGTGTTCGTGGACCAAATCACTGATAGCCTTAAGGCCATTTGCTCTTTAAATATCACAATGGCTATAGTGAAGAAGCCATAGCACTCCACCTCATAATCTGAGGAAGGGCAATGATCAGAGAAATGAGGAGACTGAGCAAGGAATACCTGTCTTAGATTGGGCAGATTCTGAGACCTATAGTTGCATGCACAATGTTTACTGGGAAGTGTTACTGGAAGACACACCTATGAGGAAATGAAGAAGGCAGGGTTGGGAGAGGGAGCAGCCAACTCACAGTGTGATTGCATCTGAGGCCTCTGCTGCCCCTATGAGGAGCTTTGGGGCTGAAAGGGCCCTAGAGTTCTCCCAAAGTGAGTTAGGGCCAGGGCCTTTGCATCCCCCTTCAACACTGATGCTCTCCTGCAGCCCCTGGAAGAGGGAGTAACCTTAGCACATAACACAGCCATAGGGAAGTAGTTCTCTATGGCTCAGGGCAATGCCCAATGCAGGGCTCAGCTGTGAGGCATCAGCACTTGGGGGAAGTGTGCTTGGGCCCTGCTGGGAGATGCCGAGAGGAGCAACACATCACTAAAACCACAAAACCCTTCCCCTCCACCAGGTTATTACACACAGATCTCCACGCTGGCAGATGCCCAGGAGAATGTGATGGAGTACCTGCATGTGCTCAGCCGTCCCATGGTCATAAACCATGACCATGACATCATCTGGACAGAAGCCTACCTGGACAGCAAGGTAGGGCTCTGACAGGTGCTCCAGAGTTAGGGACCCTGGGTTGTAAGTGGTGAGTTTCTGGGTCAGGAGAGGAGTGAGCATAACACTGTGAAGGGGTGAATATGGCCAGTCTTTCATGCATTTTCTCCTCCCTCCCCTGGCACCCCTCAGCCCAATAGCAGGTCCATGCCCATATGCTGCTCTGGATGCCAGAAATCCTTTCAGCTAACCTGCCCAGAGCTGTCCCCATAGACAGAGCCCCTCTGTTCCAAACTAATTTCTCCTGCCTTTCCCTACTGGGACTCACCTATCTCATTGTCCTTCCCTCCTACCTGTTATGGAAGAGAGTAGTCAGGCCAATCATTCACAATCAATCATATTGCTTAATCATGTGCTCTCCCTTCGTGGGTACCTGCATTTTCCAAGAAACTGCCTGTGGGCAGCAATGACTTACACAAAGGAATAAATTATCAAAGGTAAAATCTCAGATGTTTTTTGGGAAGAGGAACCTTCATGGTACCTCTCCAATCACACACAAGCCACTTGCTTCTATGATGATGTTTCAGCCTGAGATTAAGAGAGACCTAAAAATACGGACATGAATAGGATAGAAGTGTGTTTCTTCCTCATGTAAAAGAAGTCCAAGGATGGTGGCTCTGAGCTGATGAGGACCTCTCTGGTCATCACTGGCCCAGGATCCTTCCTGTTTTCCCCTTTGCATCTCCAGCTGTGACTCTTGTCCTCCTAATCCAAGGTGGCTAGTGAATCTCTAGTCAATAGAGCAGCAAGATGGTGGAAGGAGAGAGTGGCATGTCCCACACCTGTAAAAGGAACTTCTAGGGAGTTTTGCATGACACTTGAACTTATATCTCATTGGCCAATGTTGACTCCTAGCTGCAGGCGAGGCTAGGAATGCAAACTTTCAGCTTTACTTCTGACTTACTCTAAGGTCAGTAGCATGCTTACTTCTACCTATTAATAGTAGATATGAACCATCTTGCCAGTTTTTGAGTGAAAAGCTCATTAATCTACCTTAAAGGGGTTCAGCCAATAAAGTCATGCTCAGGTGATGTAGTCCAACTATCACCAACTACTGCTCCCAAAGCAGGTGCTCTGAAAAGAAATGCTTCCTTTGTTGGGGCAGGTTCCTTCTTTCATTTTCCAGGTGTTCTCAGGACCCTATTCAGGGCAGATACCATTGACAGAGAATGAGAGTGTCAATAAGAAAGAGTATGAGCACGACAGAGAGAGAGAGATCTATTCTTTGTTCTTGTCTTCCTTTGTACTTTGTCTCATGTTGTTTGCTCTCTTCCATTCTTCATTCATCTACCCATCCATCCATGCATCCATCCATGCATCCACCATCCATCCATCCATGCCTTACATTAACTACCACAGCCTAAGGAAGGGGCCTCTTCTCCAGTGGACCCTGCTTGTATGCTTCCCACACACGTGAATGTTTGTGTTCATGCCAAAGGAGCTGGCAAAGGGAAGGCTAAGTTTGTACTCACAACTTCCAGAACCCTGAAATCCAGTGAGGGAAGCATGCACCCTGACTCAGGGTGGCCAGCACTGTTTGGGTGTGTGTTTGGCAGAAGGGACAAGGAAGGAGAATGTAGGTGAGTAAAGGCATATCTTTGCTTTACTATAAAAATGATTTCAGACAGGTAATACCAGGTCATCCCTTGGCATTTCATGGCCATCTTAACCTTTGAGGCCCCTTAAAAAAAAAAAAAAAAATCACTGTCATTGAGTCATTTCTGACTCATAATGACCACCATTGGGTTACTGAGGCTGTAAATCTTGATGGAAGTAGATCACCCAGTCATCCTTCTGCAGAGCAGTTGGTGGGTTTGAACCACTGACCTTCCAGTTCACAGTCAAGTCCCTTATCCACTACACCACCAGAGCTCCGAGACCTCCAGGCTCCTGCTTCCCTTCATGTTCACTTATAAGAGCACAGTTTTATCTTCATTTTTAAAAATGACAGCTGTCCCCTCAATTAGGAAGACCTTCTAGTCTCTAAATCTTCTCTTTCCACCCCCTTGCCTCTCCTTCTGTTGACTTAGGAGTCCCTGTTGTCAAAGAGTCATCTGTAAATCTCTTGGGTACAACTTTGAGAACTTCTGAGTTCTCAGTGTTGCTCACTGAGCCCAGGGCAGGTCTCCTGCCTGGCACAGATGTGGGAGGATAGGTGCCCACTGCACTGGGATCCTGCACAGTGAGAGATGACTCCTAAGGGAGAGGGCAGGTGAGAGGAAAGCATGGGGCTCCCTAGAGAAGCAGGGGTAGAAGCACCTCTGGCTTCATAAATTCATAACTCACACAGACTTGATAGCATTCACCTTGTCTTTATTGATGTGTCTGAGCTCAGAACAAAATTGCAGCTCACCTTCAGAAAACCTTACTTTCAATCTAAATTGAAAATCAGATGAAATTAAGAAAAGGGACTTCATGGTCAAAAAGTTCCTAATTTTCCAATAAAGTCCATGACTCAGCAACATCTTTTGGTTTATCTAAATGAGGATGAGACTCTTAAAAGTGTTGATGCACACCTATTTTCAAAACTTGTCTTTGCTTTGGAATGAGACACATGGGTAGAGCCCCTTTCCAAGGTAGCTAGAGGACATGGTATGGTAATACAGGCAGTCAGAAGGAAAATATGCTCACAGGTTGGAAATGATTGAGTGGAGAAGAGACTGAAGGTCTATTCTATGTGTGTTAGGGATGACCAAGATGGTGACCACAAATACACTGTGACCTGTTCTTATACTGTGCTTCCACATATGGACTTTTGTTTGCAGATGATTCTGGATCTGTCTTTCTCCCCCTTAAGTGGTTCCCTCAGACCAACCTTGGGTCCATATCAGAGATTTCTTAGAAAGTTTTTCCATGTTAAACCTCTTTGTTCATAGGCATGTGTGGGACAGGCCAGTTCTGTGGGTTCATACTCATCCTTGGCATGGCTGAGCTATGAAAGTTCAATGAGCCTGACTGAGAGCTGGGTTGTGGGCTCTGGGATTATGAGACTTGCTCAGTCTTAGGAGTGTTTTTGGTGAGTGATATCAGCTTTATCCTCCTCCATAGCACACCTCTCTCATGCAGAATTTCTGCCAGTTCTCCATTTGCAGAGAAAGGAAACATCATTTGGAATTTCTTCCTTTTCATTAGACATTGTGTAGTTGATAACAATGATGGTGGGCCCTTCATGCTATGTGCTCGGAGCAGGGTAAACTACTGGACCTCTTTGGACTGACGCTTGTCCTTTACTTTTTCCTCTCTGACAGCTCTTCACCTCACAGGCCCAGAGCTTAATGCTACTGACTACTGTGGCCATGCCAGTCTTCAGCAAAAAGAATGAAACGGTGAGTGGTCACTCCCTGAGAGGTTGCAGCAGTGATCAGAACTTGGAGGCACTGGCTGGTATCTTTCTTTAGATCAATGGTTCTTGACTTGGCTAGGCATCACAACCACCTTGGGAGGGTTTTTAAATGCGTATTCCCAGACCTTGACCCAGACAGGCTACACCAGAATCTCTCAGTAGAGAATTGGAGGAACCATACTTTTCCAGACTCCTCCAGTGGTTCTACTACAGCCAGCATGATGCCAGTCTACTGCTATGCACTTGGGGCCACTGCTCTGGGGAGATAAGGCTAGAGAGGTTATCTGCGCAGCCTTCAGCAAAACCATACTTAACCTACCAGTCTGGGTAGACTCTAACTTGTTTGTAAAGGCCTCTGGTGAGATAATTTCCAGAACCTTCCATTCTCCATCTGGTCGGAAAATGTTTCCTATAGCACCATAGCACCTGTAGATTCTCATCCCTGAGATCCCAGTACTTCAGCATCTGCTGTGAAGATTCATATTTTATTCAACTTTTATTTCATTTAGATATTACAACTTAAATATTAATATTGACCATTAATCTTCCCAGCAGCTGAGATTGCTCCTGAGACCTCTCCTGATAGATTCTAGATTTTTATCCAGGAAGCTCAGCCAAAAATCTAATGGCAGATGAAGAACCACTTGAGATCTAAGCTTCTATTTCTGGGCTCTGGTTCAGCCTGACCCTACTCCCAGGGAAGCTGTGTATCCCCTGACTCAGCATCTTTCCTTCCAGCGATCGCATGGCATTCTCCTGGGTGTGGTGGGCTCTGATGTGGCCTTGCGCGAGCTGATGAAGCTGGCACCTCGGTATAAGGTGAGCCTAGGTCAGGTCCCTGAAAGGGGGTCACAGGTCACCCAGGAGTTTCTCCAGCCAGTGTTAGTATCCTTTCTCCAGACAGTGACAGCCAGATTCAGAGCTGGGCTGGGGCCTCTCCATCTGGTCCCCAGAGAAGTGTAGGATGTTAAGCATGGGAGTAGCAGCCTGGATTCCTGAGTCCTTTGCCAGTGCTTACTGTAACATGCTCTGTGGGCTTCAAAGAGTTTTCCCCTGGGTTGTGCCTCAGTTTCTCAATCTGCTCCTGTAAGCTATGCATTCATGTTGTGAGAGTGAATGAGATTTTATCATTAAAGCACCTAGAGCATGTGGTGGGAAAAGGGTTGAGTTGTGGTACAACATTATTGTTGTAAACAATAGAATTTGGAAAGGATTTCAAAATTAAAGGGTAAGTTTTTCAAAGTGTTAAACAAAAAAATTACCAGGTGACCCAACAATTCCACTTCTAAGTATATATCCAAAAGCATTGAAAACAGAGACTCAAACAGATACTCGTACACCAATGTTCATAATAACATTATTCACAATAGCCAAAAGGTGGAAATAACCCAAGGGTCTATCAGCAGATGAATGAATGAACAAAATTAGTATATACATATAAAAACCAAAAACAAACTTACTGCCATCGAGTCGATTCGGACTCATAGCAACCCCCATTGGGTTTTGAAGGTGATAAATCTTTATGAAAGTAGATTGCCCCATCTTCCTTCCATGAAGCAGCTTGTAGGTTTAGAACCACCAACCCTCTGGTTAGCAGTCAAATATCTTCGGCACTGCACTGCCAGAGTTCCTTAATGTATGTGTGTGTGTATATATGTGTATAATGGACTATTATTAATCCACAAAGAGCAGTGAAGTTCTGATACATGCTATGACATGGATGAACCTTAAAAACATTGCACTGAGTGAAATAAGCCAAATATTATATGCAATATCTGAATAGGCAAATTCATAGGGATGGAAAGGAATTGGAGGTGGCCAGGGGCTGAAGAAGGAGGCCTGGTGACACAGTGGTTATGTGCTCAACTGCTAACTGAAAAGTTAGTGGCTCAAATCCACCAGCACTTCATAGAAAAAAAGATGTGGCACTCTGCTTCCGTAAAGATTACAGTCCTGGAAACCCTACAGGGCAATTCTACTCTGTCTTATAGGGTCACTATGAATCTGAGTCAATTCAACAGCAGTGGGTATGAGTAGGGGCTGGAGGAGGGCAGGGAAAAATGGGGACTTATTGCTAAAGGCTACTGAATTTCTGTTTGGGGTGATGAAGCAATTTTGGAAATAGTGGTATGAGTATAAAACACGGTCAATCCAATTAACGCTACTTAACTGTATTCTTCAAAATGGCAAATTTTTGTACTCTTTATATTTTACCACAATAATTTTTTTGATGTAGAAATCAGACATTAAAGGGTAGAAGAAGGCCACTGGTTCAGTTATATTCATATTTGGGAAATTCTCTGCCATGAGCAGCCATCTTTAACCATCCAATGATCCAACACAAACAACAGGTCTAATGCACCTCAATCCCTGTCTTTGGCAGCTAGGAGTGCATGGATATGCCTTCTTGAACACTAACAATGGCTACATCCTCTCACATCCTGACCTCCGACCCTTGGTAGGTATAAATCTTATTTGTCTTGGAAGTCTGACTATAGGACTTGGGGGGGGGGGTTCATAAATGTAGTTGAAACAACGAACACATTATTGGGCTCCATTCAGAAATCCAGCACTCTACTATGAGTAGTATGAGAAAAAAAAAATGTATTTCAGTTACGGTCCCTGTTTTCTAACGATTTATAATCTAGCAGGAGAGACGAGTCCAAAAAAAAAAAAAAATGTTTGAAATGATTGATGAACCTGACCAGTGAACATGTAATGAAGTGTGCAGTTGTGTGGTTATAGAAGCCCCATAGGACACAGCCACTTACATTCTCCCATCAGTAGGTAGCTCCACATTCCCTTTTGGAGTCTGATGCCATATAAGCATAACTCCAGGGCCCCACCAAAAGGCTGTTAATATCAAGTTAACAATAAAAATGGCAGGACACCTTTTGTGAGAGGTGTGGGGTGAGTTGCTGAAATGCTCTTGAGTTTGTCTTAGGGTGTATTCCTGAGTGTTCCTGTCCTCTTCCTAGCTATCCCCATCTTGACACAGACTAGGAGGATTTTCACATGGGCTCAACTGAGCAACTGATGGCTTAAAAGGAAAAGTTGCATCATCTTATCTAATAGCTCTGCCTTCAGGGCTGTTGTTGTTATTTGCCGTCGAGTCGCCCCGACTCATAGCAACCCCTCCTTGGGTTTCCGAAGCAGTATCACTACGGAAGTAGGATTGCCCAACCTTCCTTCCGAGGAGTGGCTGATGAGTTTGAACCGCCAGCCTTCTGGTTAGCAGTCAAGTGCCTTAGGCACTATGCTACCAGAGCTCCTGCCTTCAAGGCTAGAGGCTCCCTACTATCCCTAGTGATGGCACTTGACCACTATACATGGCAATAATGGCTACACCTTTCAGTGTGGTTGTTAGTGGGGGGAGAGAAGTCACAACCCTAGGAACTTTAGCTTTTCCTCTCTACCAGTCTAATACTTTTCCAAGAAAATTTGGTAATTTCCAAGAAATTACCAAGGGGCTCATCTGCCCCAGGTGTCATTTGGAGAGATCAAACTAACCACATTCCATTCCATTTAGTTCAAATGGAGACTGAATGCCCCCAGGCAACTAATTGAGCTTCTCAAAGCAACCTATAGTGGTTCAGAGTAAAGAGAAATTAGGATCCACTGGAAACCACTCTGTCTACTCTTCCCAGTTCAAATTCGACAGGCATCTGTTTTAATCACCTCCTATCCACTCCATTTGAGCCCAGTGGTTAAAGTTCTCAGCTGCTAACAAAAAGACTGGCAGTTCAAATCCACCAGTCACTCCACAGGACAAAGATGTGATAGTCTTCTTCCGTAAAGATTTATAGCTTTGGAGACCCCATGGGGCAGTTCTATTCTGTCCTATAAGGTCACTATGAGTCAGAATAGACTTGATGGCAGTGGGTTTGGTTTATTCACCCCATTGGGAGGAATTCCTATACTAGCGTTTTGGAGATGACCAAACACACAATATCTAACACTGAACAGATGAAATTATCAGCAATTTATTAGTCACCATACATGTGGTATTATTCTCTAATTGTTTCATATACTCACAACCCAGGGGAGGAAGACACCCCTGCACTTCATGCAGGGGCCACACAGGGGTTGTCCTAGGAAATCGGGTGAACAACATGAGCTGTGGGAGGCAGGCTTTGTATATTCAGAGGATGGCATGTCCCAGTTCCCATAGGAGGATTTGATTGGATTGTTTGAATTATTCCATGGGCTGGCAGGGAACTGAAACCCACTACTCAGGAGTAAGCAGGAACTGTGCTTGGTCCCATGATAAGGAAGGTTGTTTGGCTAGGGGACCTTACCCACAGGAACAGAATGGAAAAGGGAACTTTAGGTTAGGTTATGCAAAGAACATCCTGGTTTTCCCCAGATGTCAAAGCAGTACACAGTATTGGGCGTTAATTTTAGGTTTTATGCCACAGCATCTGAACTCATGATATATGACTCTCCTGTACCAGTGTGTTCTGTGGGAGGCAGCCCCAATGCCAGAAAATGACTCACTAGAGAAGTAATAAATATGTTGATCCTAGAGCTCAATTATAGAATTAAGGGGCATTGATCAGAAACCTACCTGTCATCATCTATTTAATCTAGATGAATACAAAGCTTCAACCAACAAGTCCATGTTGTAGAACTACTGTGTGCCTTACTTTTTACTGCTGTGAAGAATGCTATAAACAGAAATAAAATTTATGGGGTAATTAAGGAAATAAGACTTACATAAATGAGACAATAGGCAACAACACAACATAGGATATAATTATATAACAAGAGATATTATAAAGCTGATTTAATCATATTTCTAAGGAAAGCTCTATCAATTTATGATGAATAATAAGGAGAACAGTAGTTGAGTTAAAAAAAAAAAAAAAAAAAAGGAAAACTACAGAGGAGATGCCTCATAATAAATCGAAAGAGGATACTTTTGGCCTGAATTTTTTCTATGTTAGTGCCTAGAGTATGAGTAATTAACAAAGTGAAATTATGATTTTAATACGAAGAGCTAAAGATGCTCTTTCAGGTGTCATCAGGATTTAGCAAACAGGAGTGGAATATTGTATCTTATTCAAAATAAATAGATCTAATGTGGAAGATGGCAGGGCAGAGCTGTTTGCCATGTGTATGGACACCAATAACACCAAGAATGGAGGCATCACCCAGGCATGAGTGAGAAGAAAAAGAATGAAAGTGGGTACTGTTGTGGCAGTTAAACTACAGATCACCAGGACAGGTGAGAGATAAGGATGACACTTTCCTGAATGAAAAAATGACAAAAGCATGCTTATAGGGGACTTCAAACATCTGCTTGGGGGTTCATTCTATTAAAACTAGAGCCTCTGATTAATTCTTAATTTACCTTCTGATAAGTTATTCTCTTTCCTTTTTCAATAGGATTACTTAACTAAACCTGGGAAGTGCTGCAGACCTAATAGCATATAACTTGATGATATTTGTCTTTGTATCCAAGAGACAGACAGAGATAGATAGACAGACAGACAAAGATAAAGACAGGACCAGAAAATAATAACACTCAAAGAATGTTGATTAATGGCTCTATGTCATGTTAGAGGGAAGGAAGTCTTTACTAGGCACTGCAATATCTGTCCTTGGCTCTGTCCCGTTAAAAAAATTCTGTCAACAAGATGAAAATACACAAAGCAGATGCCATAAAGTCTAAAAGGTATGGCTAATGCATCGAATGAGAAAATTAGTATGCACAAGGTATTATTTTAAAACAATGGGCTGAAACTAACAAGACAAAATGTATTAGGGATACATGGAATGTTCTGCCAAAATACTCAGTGCTCAAGCATAAGATTGTGGAGATGCAATTTAACAGTGTGTCATGTAAGAAAGACCAAAGGGATGTAATTGAATGAAAATTCAATTTGAACTAGCAGAGTGGGATAGCTCTCTAAGAAGTTAAGCAGAATCCTGGACATTACTCATAGCTACATGATATTTTATCCCAAAGAGGTCAACCCCATACCACACTGGTCATATTCTATCTGGAATATTGATTTTTGTCCTGGGCACTCTGTTTTAGGAGTGACATTGACAACGTGGAGCATATTCCAAGGGTATTGAGGCATCTGCAAATTGGAAATATTTAGTTTGTAGAAGTGAAGTCTTAGGAGTGACAAATGCCTTGGAAATCTCTAGGGTTGTCAGGTGGAAGACATTCTGAGTAGCCCCAAGGGAAAGAACTAAGATCAATGGGTAAAAGTTACAGGGAGACAGATTTCAGCTTTATATAGGGATGAACTTTTTCGCAATTAGAGCCATCCAAAACTATGACAAGCTGACTCACAAAATAGGGAGTTCCTCATCGCGGGGAATGTTCACTCAGAGGCCTGAGCCCATCTGTCACGAACGTTGGTAGGGGAAGCTCTGAATTGGGTAGAAGGTTGGCCCAGATAACCTTAAGGAATTGCTGAGATTCTTTGATTTTATGAGTCTACCGGAAGGCTTTAGAAAAGAGATCAAACGTGAGGAGGGCCTTGTGTTAACCTCATGTTTTTCTCCCTGACTTGCTCACTCCAGTACAGAGAAGGGAAGAAATTTAAACCAAAGCCTAACTACAACAGCGTGGATCTCTCTGAAGTGGAGTGGGAAGACCAAACTGAAATTGTGAGTGGAGAAAGTAGGAGAAAAGGAAGCTAGTTTAGCTCTATCTCCAACAAAATGGGTCAGCCACAAGGTGTTAAGCTATGAGGTCACTCATTTTACTTCTCCCAGAGAGAGCACTTTAGTCCCAGGGCTGTTCCAAGCCCCAAGCCAGCAGCAATTCCTATAATGGGCAATTCTTTAAACATCTAAAAAATAATGTCTTCTTGAATTACAAAGATTACTTGAGGATGAATGAGATCGGGTCTATAAACTTCAGAGGCTGAGTTTTAGTAATGTGTTAGCCTCTTTTGGTCTCAGTATGTCATCCTAGAATAAACTGCTTCAGTAATACGACATGAAGGCTGGCAGTTCAAACCCACCAGCCACTCCTGGGAAGGAAGTTTGGGGCAATCTACTTCCTTAGAGATACTGCCTCAGAAACCCAAGGAGGGGTCCCTATGAGTCAAATTGACTGGATGGCAGTGAGTTTAGTTTTTTTGGTTTATGTACCATAATGCATCAGTACACAATGGAATACTGACTTGGTCAAAGCCCAGAATTATAAGCTAAACTGAACTAAAAGATCTGTTCCATAGTCCCTCCTGATATTCTACTCAGAGAAAAAAGACAAGAGGAAAAAGGGGAAAACCAAGTGTTCCCAGGGATGACAGCTAAGCTGGTCAGGAAACCTCAATACCTTGCACTCTCCAGTGTAAGGCAAGGAACTAATACCATTCTCTTTCCTCTTGAAGCTGAGAACAGCCATGATCAATGGGGAAACTGGTTCTCTGTCTATGGATGTGAAGGTGCCACTGGACAAAGGGGTAAGGTATTAGAGAGAGCCTTATCTATTCCTAGGAAGGCAGCACCTCAGTTAATAGACATTTTGGGTGGTGACAAGGGACTTGGACTTAGCTGAATTAGAACTTAGGACTTGAGTGCTTGCTGGAGCCTGTTGTTGTTGTTATGTGCCTTAAAGTCGGACCTGACTCATAGCGACCCCTCCTTGGG